TAAGGTACAAATAAACAGAATCACACGAAGCCTGGTTAGTGTTGCCTGACTTTATAAAGTGTGTTTTTTTTTCCGAGCCGGAGCTGGAAAAGCGCCGGTGTGAAAGGGGCATCAGATGCGGCTTTCACACCAGCGCTTTTCCCTTTCTAGCTCCTAGCGAGAGCTTTTCTGGTTCAGCTCCCGTTTCCCTTTTCAGCTCCCGCTCTGTTCACACCGCCCAGAGCTGCCGCTGCTGCGTCATGACGTCACAGTTTACATCGCTGATTTTCTCCCACAACAACAACGGGCCGGGGACTGCGTCGGGTCGATGATCGTGTTGCTTTTAATCATACGAAGCCAGATTAAATTAAATAACGACTTCTCCAACCTTATACTTTTCTCCAGAGTGCCGTGGTTCATTGTTTATTAATGTGTTTCAGCGGCATTTACCGACCGCTGCAGTGCTGACTGCTCTTCCACGGGAGTTTATTCTCCCGTTAGCTCCGGGTTAGCTCACACGGCTCTAAAGTATTCACTGTCTGACTGTCACACAAGCAGCTGATACATATCCCCAGTTCCCCTTAAGTGAATGTGTGTCAGTCTGAATTGACGCTGTTTGGCATCACAACGCTGTTATGAAAGTTTCTCTGGTATAACATGGGTGATGTTAGCATAGCAACCGAAGCTAAACTGACTACTTGCTAAGCCGTTTTCTACAGGCACATTTTACCGGCGTATTTTTCATTATGATTCTACTCATAGTCGGACATGACAACCTGTGCAGCCCATGTATTAATTCCATCCGATAGCTGCTATAATAACAAACAAAACGTCTGCCTGCTCTCCACAATGATCAATAACAGCGAACGGATGGTCAAAGTAAGGTTTCCTGCACGCCTCGACGTAAGAGAGACGTAAGCGACGCCGCGTCATAGCTCCAAAGCTCTTGCCTCTGGACCGACAATTTTTTGGAGCTGGAAGTGAACCGCATTCCGGAGCTATGACGCGCCGCCGCTGCGGTGTGAACAGGAAAAACCGGCGCTTTTCCAGCTCCAGCTCCGAGCAGGAGCTGGAAAAGCGCCGGTGTGAAAGGGGCAAGAGAGATATTTGGTGCTCTAGGAGGAGATTCAGGTGATAAGGTGGGGGGGGGGGGGGGGGGGGGGGGGGGGGGGGGGGGGGGGGGGGGGGGGGGGGGGTTGTTGGTGATTGGCTAATGGTTACACAAGCCAAACAATCGTTATGACATCATAAAGTGGGCAAAATCTGATCAGTTCATTTTCAGACAGGTTTTTATAGAAATGGATCAGGACAAAAGGAGAGAGAATCTTTTTTCCTGAAACTTTCAGAATCTCTTTACACAGAGGGGACACATGTTGATGTAGAAAATACATGAAGAAGTGGATTTTGCATAATAGGTGACCTTTAAAAGCCTCGGCCTTGGTGTGTTTTACCTCTCTCCTCTCTCCTCTCTCCTCTCTCCTCTCTCCTCTCTCCTCTTATCTCTCTCTTCTCTCTCCTCTCTCTCCTCTCTCTACTCTCTCCTCACTCCCTCTCTCTCCCCCCCCCCCCCCCCCCACCTCCTCCCACGGCCCCTGGTTTCTTGTCAGTCGTGATTAATGGCACTAGGGCCCCGGCGCGGCTTACGCTGCCAGTTCCAGCGATGTTCCCTTGATACTTAATGAACTCTGACAAACTTCTTTTCCCTCGCTCTGTTGTTCCTCCCCTCCACCCTCCCTGTTTAAAATGCACAGCACAGACATGCCACTGCAGCACCTTGGGGTTAGCTCTGGTCCTTTCCAGATCTCTCAAGAGACCAGCGTCTAAAAATAAAGGGCCTCAGCCATTTTAGTGTCAAGACCCTTAGTTGTGTATCACTTCCAGATGAGTTTTGTTTATTCACAATGTATTATATTCCTTTTTTGTTTGTTCCAAATGTACCATTTTTGGCTAAATCTTCACCCAAATGCCAAAGTTTATGTTCGTTGCTAATACTAACAGTCAAACCCATCTCCAGCAAATTATTGAAATAAATATCAGCTGCAAAATAGCAGAATAAATCATTTTAAATGTTGAAATAATGGCGGACTTAATTAGTTGAATAATCGAGCCTATTTTAGTTTTCTTCTTTCTGAAAATGAAGCAGTGAAACTCAGCTGGTCTGTGACGCCCTCTGCTGTTCACATTAAGGAAGTGTGTGAAACAATATTCTCACTGTCCATTCAAAAGTGAATAAGATCAAGATTCAAGAACATGCATTATACTTTATAGTTCAACTAAACATTGAATTAATATCACACTAAATTAAATCAGTGGAAACGACTGCAAATATCGCCTGAAATTAACAGTGTTGCATTTTACAGATTAGAGTTTATAGGTTACAGTAACAGAAGGGTACATTTAGTCAAGTATTATACTTAAAGGTAGGGTAGGTACATTTGAGAAACCGGCTCGAGATCGCTAGAATTTGAAAATACACAACCGGAGAAAATCTGCCACTTCCTTACAGAGCCCCTCCTCCAACACACACGAACGCGCACATGACCATTGAGGGCACGAGATAAGTTTGTGCACAGATGGAAGGCTGACAGGCAGGTAGGCCATCCAGTTATTTTAGCCGGGCCGGCTCAGATGATTGGTCGTGCTTTTTACAGTACTACGGCTTCCACATATGACATTTTTTATGGATTCTTTGTCAAAGCACTTAAGATATTCATTGCTATCGGGATGTTAAGAGCATTCCATGGAATATAACAAAAAGTGTATCTCGAGCCGGTTTCTCAAACGTACCTACCCTACCTTTAAGTACAAATTAAATATTTCCACATATACTGCTTTATATATCTACTCTCCTTCAATTCAAAGGCAAATATTGTTCTTTTTACTCTTAGCTTTAGTAAGGTCCTACTTTAATGATTCAGATTAATAAAAAGAAATAAACAAACATTGTTTTTAAACTTTATTCATCTCTTTATTCAAAATTCACATGCTGGTATTATTAGCCGATTGCAAAATATATGTATTTTTTAAAACTACTCCTTTATGAGCTGCAACATTAAAATGAGGAACACATTTATGCATCTACTATTATAATATTATAATGTAATTTATATTGCCATGTGCAGAATGAGTACTTTTTGTACTTTACATATATGTTAATATATTGTATTAGTATGTATTTAAATATATGCAGGTCTTTTACTTGTAACAGTATTTTTAGAGTGTTAGTGTTACATTTCTTAATACTTCAAACAAGTCTTTAAAGGGGACCTATCATGCAAAATGCACTTTTTGATATCTTTTATACATAAAGATGTGTCCCCGGTGTGTCGGGGAACTCACGCAGCGTCAGAAAATAAAACCCTCTCTCTTTTCCTCTGTACCCAAATCTCTAAAAACGGGGTAACGACGGAGCTGATCCAGATTTGCGTCCGATATGACGTAATATCGGAAATGTAGGCTGGCTTTACACCCACGGCCCTATCAGAAACGTTGCTATCAGAAACAATGCCCGACTGTTTTGGACGTAATATGGTCGGTGTTTACATTAGCATCGCTAACACTCAGAGCTAACCTGTACTGCACAGAGCATGTGTGTGAAGAAGCAGGAAATAAAAAGGAACTCACCTTGTGGTATAACCGGCAAGAGAGAAAGCCTTTGAGCTCCATACTGTTTCAGAAATAATCCTTGATAATCCATGATATGGCGTTTCATCACCGCAGTATTTAGTTTAGACAGTAGCTGCCGGGTCCCGCATGAGCTCAGCCCCCTCGTTTTTTATCAAATCTTTTGTTTTTAAAGCTTTATACCCCAAATCAGCACTTTTGAAAAAGGAAGTGAAATGGAAGGATATGAGGCATGGCTAGAATGGGTGATTTGTTTGGTATTTTGAGCAAAACACTTCATAGACATGTTTTTTATATATTTGTATATATCTGAGACCTATGCTATTGCCTAAAAATAGCATGATAGGTGACCTTTAAGTTAGCTGACAGACATGTTAAAGACTAATGAAACACTGTTTAATATTGTATTAAAGTTGTTGATTTAAATACTACATTAGCTATACACACAATCAACATTTGAATGCCACTATAACAAAACTGTAAAGTAAGTTTTATCAATAAAAAGAGTGGAATTACTTCAATGTCAAGCGAGGTTAAACACACTGAAAGGAAATACCAGCGATGCAAATGCTATGAGGTTCATTAACGAGAGAATTCCAGATTGTGTTTTTGACTTCCAGACAAAATACTCAAGAGGAAAATTAGGCTGTAGCAACGACAACAAACAGTTGCAACAAAACAAACTCCAGTTTTGCTGTGAACAGACTCCTGTTGTGAGGACATGAATGCAACATTTCAGGGTAACTGAATCCAAGAGGGTGTCTTTCCTTATTTTTTCAATTATATTCTGTGGATTTTATCCTTGGGATTTCGAGCCTTCATTATAAGCAGCTGAGAGATGGCAGGAAATGATAAAGAGTGATGCAACAAAGATCCCCAGCTGAACTCAAACCACGGTCGGTGCTGCGTTCATGGTCAACATATGTCATCCTCAACTTAATTTGTTGAACAAAGTATGCCGTGTTCTTTTTTGTGTTCCTCTGTGCTCCTGTTGGCTTTCCGCCCCGTAACCAGCTGCTCTGCATTTGCCCTGCGACAGATCTAATTTGGTTTGCAGTTTTTTCATACTGTACTTCATTTCTTTAGATTTGTTTTAAGCACAGTCACATGAGCCTTTTCTTGTTCACATGCAGCTGCTAGAGCTCTCACATGAAATAGCCTGGGTAATGTTGTCATGCATGTCTAGCATCTGCTCATTAGTGTGCATGTAATTGCAATGTGAAAAATATTACACTGGCAAACGCAAAAAAAAAAATAAAAAAAATAAAAATAAAAATAAAATAAATAAATAAAATAAATAAAATAAATAAAATAAATAAAATAAATAAAATAAATAAAATAAATAAAATAAATAAATTAAAGAAATAAATTAAATGAAATAGAAATTGAGAGGTCTTCCACACACAAGGGGGCGCTAACGCCACACGTGTTACGCCAACGGTCAAAGTCCACCTTAGAAGAAGACGGTTGCAGGTGCCTGTGGAGGTGCCTGCTTGTTTTCTGTTTGTTCGTGTCCTCTCTGCTGAAATTACAGGTAAGACCTTCTAATAAAAAACAACACTGTTTTACCATCTTTATAAACAAAGACTCTGGTTTCATCCCTTCTGATTAATAGTACATGGGATGATCGATATTTACCGCTGATTGTACAGCTTTTACGGCGACAGTGAAATGTAAAGTAAGCTTTGTTGTGAAATATAAGTAACTGATAATATTTTCCAACTGTCTGCAGTTGGAAAATACTTCCTGTTTTAAGCAGGACTAACATAATTCACATTATGATATCAGAGCCTCCTCCCAACGCCACACAACCAAACTCCCCTCACAGGTTTGTATATTTAAAGTTCTTTTTCGGATAAGTGATCCATATCTTTGTTAATCCTATAATTGTACGACTGTATACACATCTTTAAATTCCCCTTTGTCATTCGGCATACCCGGGATGCCTTTGAATTGAGTGTTTTTTTAATAACGTTGGACTTTGATCTGTTGTAGCTTTCGTTTCCGTGAAGCAGGGGAAGCTTTGTTTTTAGAAACTGCAAGGCTTCTGTTTGATCGATGAGTTATATTCTGAAAATACATGAAGATAATTTCTTCTCGTACAAGATTTAACTTTTCTAACTTAACCCTTTTGTGCCTTTTGTAGCGATATCGTACCGGATTTCTGAGTAATCACTTCCTCCCGTTTTGTCCAAGCAGGAAGTCACTGCTGCAAAGCTACATGCATTTTAAAGATTATCTAACGTTTGACTATCATAGCATGCATCTCATGTTGCAAACGAGTAGATTATAAGTTAAAATGCCACTCTATCTTTGTTTATTTCTGTTTATTTAGACATCCGAAGAAACATATGACCAGCATCAACCCAAATAGTTGCAGACCAGTGTCTTAAGAAGAAAAAAGCCACATTTCACAAAAATGTTATTTATAAAAACTAAAATATCTGTATTAAATTGACTCAAACATACAAAGAGAGGTTGTAAAAACACTGCTGTCTCTGAAGGTCACCAGCTTATATCTTTGCAAATCCTTCCCAACCAAAGCAACTTATCTTTTAGCTTAAATTAACATGATCACGTTTATGTGAATGTACATTATTTTGTACATGATACCAGCAAATGTCACTTAATGTCTGACGTGAGGTTACAACGTCTTCACACTGCAGCCTCAATCCTCTTTAAGGTCACTAAGTCCCAGCTGATGGCTGCCTAAGCCTGTGCTGAGAGGACATAAAGAGAGCGAGGAGCCAACTGCACCTGTTCCTGCATTCCTACATTTGCATATGCACAATATACAGATCTATATACAAAATGTGGCCATAAAAGTCCAATGCCCCTCCAACAATGCAATTAACAATTTATCGCAATGGCAATATGGACTAGTGTAATATTCAAATTGCACGAACCACAATATTTGTGCAGGCAAAATATGTGTTGGAGTGCCATTTTGAAAAAGTATTGTAATGTTTGTTTATTGCAAATCCCCTTATTGTTGATTCATAAATCACACTATGGTCCTTTTAATGTATTTTCAATAATAATGAGAATAATCACGCAAAAATGATCAATTCCTCCAATATCAAAATATCCAGTATTTAAAATGACAAATTACGTATTAAGACATAAAAGGAAATACAAAATAAAAAAGTGCAAAAGTAAACAAATATAGATACAAAAAACTATTTAAATTGTAATACTATAAACTAGTGCCATCTGAGGGCATAGCCACCGTTAATTAGTGCTTGTAGTTGGGAGCATTTGCTTGTAATTAAAGCAGGATATAGTGTAGACAGTAAAAGGGAAACTTTATTCCCGCCTGCTCATTTTACATGCGGTCTCCTTTTCCACCTGTCAGCAGGATGGCACAGTGGGGGGCCATATTCTCGATAATCGCTGCCCTCGGAGGAGCGGCGCTGTTATCCTCTGTGCACAAAATTGACGAGGGACACACTGGAGTTTACTACAGGTGAGACTGCAGCACACATTGTTTATTTGAATACCTCAGACATAAGCGGTACATTTCTCTGTTGTAAAACTGAGGCTAAAGAAAAACGAGCATCTGCTTGAAATGTGTTCGCCTTAAACTGTTAAACAGAGACTACTATAAATACCTGGGTGTTAAGATTGCACAAATAATCCAGCTGTGGTTCTGTGCCTCTGTGCCTTGGTAAGAGTATTTCAAGTGTAATTTCTTGTACTGACACGCAGTAAATATCAGAGTTTTCATAACAAACAAGAAAGAAATCAGCTTCTGCTTTCCAGCCGGGCTCTATAAACAAAGTGTGGACTCATTATGATGCCATCCAAGAACAGAGATCTCTATTATGAGTGGACATGGGTCAATTATAATATCTTTCCCACTGATAAATGAGTTGCTGGAGTATGTGGGCGCAGTAAACGAGATCTGTACTAACATCAGCAGGAGCATAAAGCACAATGGAAGCAGTGCTAACTGACTTAAATGCACTCACTGCTCCACTTTATCTCTTAAATTAAGGCTACCACAAGCTTTATCATTTTGGATAAGACCCGGATCTGTAATTCATCATACCACATTTGAGAATACAGTTTTATTTATTATAAGATAACATTCCAGTAGGAAATATGTATTTTAAGATGCAGGCTCATGGTGATCCTGAAGAGATAGCAATGCAGAATGTTTTTATGTTTTTACTTGGATAAAAGCGTATTGAGGTTCACTTTCACAAGAAAGTTATGGATGAAATGTGTGTGTGTGTGTGTGTGTGTGTGTGTGTGTTACAGGGGAGGGGCTCTGCTGACCACCACCAGCGGTCCTGGTTTCCATCTCATGCTTCCCTTCATCACCACCTACAAGCCTGTTCAGGTGAGTCAACTGAAGTTCAGTTTTTAAAATGCCTAAAATCCCAAATCCAATCTGTACAAAGAACATCCATAACATTCATCTGTTTGCAACTTACAAATTATTTATCTAATATATCATATTACAATTACTTGTATATAGACTCTCCTTGCACTATTTATATTCTATTTTATTTGTATTACTTGCACTATTTTAACTATTTTGTCTGTTTTATTGTGTTGCTCTGTTGGAGGAGCCTGTGACCTAAGACTTTCATTGATGTATCTACACTGTAGCTATGTACACATGACAATAAAAGCCTTGAATCTTGAATCATACAACAGCCCATTCTACATGCATAATAATCTGAATCCTGAACAATAAGTACATACAGATAATGCAATAGATTTGCAAAAGAATTTTTTTTCCAGATTTGAGTTCAGACCTGCTGCAGGAATGTATTATACTCTGGTCAAATTACATCAAATGTTTGTGAACAATGACTATAGTCTGCTCATTCAGGTCACTGCTGATCTAAACACCAGATAAAACAAAATGAATATCCAGTGTGATGTTAGTTTGAATATCCTGGAATATGAATAAAGCTCTTATCTTAAATATCTCCTGGTCTATCAGCATATCCGCTAAACTCAGCTCTTTGATATAAAGCACCTTTTGTGAAGGTGTGTAACGTAATGTGAGTTTGAGTTACAGAGATACTTACTCAGCAATTTCTAATGTTGTAATGCATTAATGATACTGGCCAGGATTTCCTGTAACACCATTTATCCTGTATGCAAGTCAAATCCATGTTTCTGTCATGTACTTACTATTTAGTAAAGATTGTATGTACTTTAAATAGAGGATAAAACCCTTGTGATGTAATTTTCAGGCACAAAACAGGGACATGTACTGTATAAACCTTTTAAGTACATAAATAATAGTAATGATAAAAAAAAAAAACGTATAACAAAAGATACTCATGATATGATTAACTTTAAAACAATCATATACTTCTTAACCACTTACCCTGAACATATTTAACATAATAATAAAATAACAAGTTGACATATTGAATTTGGTTTCATATTGTGTTGATTGATTTATTCCCAGTCCTACCTCGATTTCAAGAGTGTGTTTTGTGCAATACTAATTCAATGTTTTATTTTGTTGTTTTTGCAGACCACGCTGCAGACAGATGAGGTGAAGAATGTCCCATGCGGCACAGGGTAGGTCTGCAGTTGTTTAATTTATTAGTAGTATCATGTGTGGTCTCGAGCATGAATTATGTACCCTTCACACACACAATGCATTGGGGGGAGTATTACACCATGAAATGCAAACGCTTTATCTTGTGTAGTTAATTAGTGTTATGTATTTTCTTTCTTTCAGGGGAGGAGTGATGATTTACTTTGACCGTATAGAAGTGGTGAACTACCTTCATCAATCAGCAGGTAAACCCACCAGTGTACAACAGGACAGAAAGAAACTTAACTGTCAATTGTCAATTGCAATGAGATAGAGTGTGTGCAAAGTGGGTGGGTTTTAGAAGAGCAGAGCAGAGTGGAGTTATTTGAAAAACAAAACTGTGAGTCTGGGAGGTTTCTACAGGCCAGAGGTCAGGTGTTGTACAGATTGATGGCTGCTGTCAGGGAAGACTTCCTGTCTCGGTCATTGGTACAGAAAGAGCTCCGGTTACAGACACAGTATCTGCTGGAGAGGGTGGTCAGGATTGTTCGTATTGGACGATAATTTACTCAGTGGCCTTACTCTCCTCCACAAATCTAATAGGGTCCGGTCTGCAGCCGATGATGGAGCCTGTGTTCTTTATGAGTTTATTAAGTCTGCTAATGTATTCGGCTCCAATGCTGCTCCGCCAGCAGACCACACAACAGCAGTTGTTAAAGGGGACCTATCATGCAAAATGCACTTTTGTACGTCTTTTATACATGAATATGTGTCCCCGGTGTTCCAGGGAACTCACCAAGTGTCAGAAAACACAACCCTCTCTATTTTCCTCCATACCCAAATCTCTAAAAAAGGGGCTGCAACGGATCTGATAAAAACTGATCCAGATTTGAACACTGTCCTGACGTCAGGACAGTGGCGCTACGGCTATTGGGCCAACTCCACCAATCAGGAGGAGACAACCACGGCCATTGCCGTGCTGGAGACGCTGTAGTACATATGCCAGGCCTGTAGATGGTGCTGTTCTCACTGAATCAGCACTTGCAAAAACAGAGCTAGAAATTGTCAAATTGAGCAAAATGAGGCATGGCTAAAATGCATGATCTGTTTGGTATTTTGAAAATAAAAAAGTATAAATATGCCTTATATAGGTATGGTCCTACACTATATTATTCAAATATAGCATGATAGGTCCACTTTAAGATAAAGATAGGATTCACTTTATTGAGGGACAATCTTCGGTCACAACAGCATGCAAACAAGGCGTTGCACATGATGTGAAAACAAAACATAAGCAGTAAATATAAACGTGTAAAAATGAGAATATAAAACAAAAATAAGAGTAAAATATCTACATTGTGACAGTGAAAGATATGTACTGTCGAGTATACACCATGAAGGGCAATAAACATTAAGGGTGCAAGAAATTGTATATATATTTAATTTGTGTAATGTTTTGTTATTGAAGAGCAGGCACAATCATACAGGGTCACAATTGAGACAATGATCTTCATCCATTTTCAATTTTTTAGAACAAACCATCACCACCCCCCAAGGAAATTGTATTTTAAATATAAATGTACAAGGTACAGTGTGAAGACATTATATACAGATGAATTATGGTTGTTAAATGTGAAAGGTAACTGCGTTGGTCTTCCAGTTCAGTCCGTTGTCTAAGTGAATCTTTATTTAACCTCTTACTCTTTCATTTAGCTTTTAGTCTGCACAGTCCCCTTTGCTGTAGCGATGTCATTTTCCTCGCTGTGGGACGAAGTAAGGAGAATGTAAACAAGGAATTGGACAATAAACTAACTAAGTAAGGAAGAAAGGAACGCCAGCGCTCTGTACTCAGAAATCGTTACAGAGCGCTGGCAATAAGATAAGATAGGACTTTATTCATCCCGAAGGAAATTGTTGTGCCAGAGTTACAAAAATACATTAAACACAGCAGCATTATAATAATAAAACTGTACACTAACAGTGCAGTAAAAAGAGCAATTAAATATCTACAGGAAACATAGACGGTCTCATCATTAATGTAAATATTAACAGTATTTAGTAGTGCAAAAACACGTAGTGGCAGATACGTAATTGCACGTAGAACATTATTAATAATAATAATGTGAAGTCTAATTGTAGATTTCATAATGTAATCCTAAACTCCCTGTGATTTCTTCTCACGTCTGAACACATCTTGGCACTGACTGACACATTAGACGTGCTTGGGTTGCAGCCGGCTCCAGCCCACCTGCAGACTGTGTGTGTGTTCTGTGCTGTATTTCCTAAATTGAGCGAGCCCTCATTTTCTGTCTCTGCAGTTTTCGACATAGTGAAGAACTTCACGGCGGACTACGACAAAGCTTTGATATTCAACAAAGTTCACCACGAGCTCAACCAGTTCTGCAGTGTGCACTCGCTGCAGGAGGTTTACATCGGGCTGTTCGGTGAGTCCTGCACTCTGGGTGTTAGCGAACTGCTCATTTAAGACACCTTCCCCCTCCTTTTTAATGGTCCATCTTCATAAACATCTTCATTAGTAATCAGCCTACATGAAAGGGTTCAAAAGAGCCTACATCTTTATGTCTCGTCTAACTAGGTTACGAGTGCCACAGACAACACCTGCTCTGCATATGCACTTAATTTAAAGGGGACCTATCATGCAAAATGCACTTTTGTACGTCTTTTATACATGAATATGTGTCCCCGGTGTTCCAGGGAACTCACCAAGTGTCAGAAAACACAACCCTCTCTATTTTCCTCCATACCCAAATCTCTAAAAAAGGGGCTGCAACGGATCTGATAAAAACTGATCCAGATTTGAACACTGTCCTGACGTCAGGACAGTGGCGCTACGGCTATTGGGCCAACTCCACCAATCAGGAGGAGACAGCCACGGCCATTGCCGTTCGAAAGCGCTGGAGACGCTGTAGTACATATGCCAGGCCTGTAGGTAGTGCTGTTCTCACAGAATCTGCCCTTGCTAAAACAGATCTAAAAAATGTCAAATTGAGCAAAATGAGGCATGGCTAAAATGCATGATCTGTTTGGTATTTTGAAAAAAAAAAAGTATAAATATGCCTCATATAGGTATGGTCCTACACTATATTATTCAAATATAGCATGATAGGTCCACTTTAAGTGAAACCACATTGTTACAACTATCAATCTTACAAATGTCCACCGAGGTAAACACAGGATGTGTATGCAAGTGTCTCATCATACACCTGGGTAAACACAGGATGTGTATGCAAGTGTCTCATCATACACCTGGCCTCATTATGACGGAGAGAACACTTTATTTATCATTTACTCAAGTTGTGTTACAGATCATTCAAGTGACTTATGTTCAAATACTGATAGTTGGTCAGCAGTAGTTTTGTCTTTCAGATACCATGCAAAGTTCTTGAATTTGATTAATACATGGTTTAAAATAACCATATTGTACTTCATCACATTTAATTATGTTCTTCTTGTATTTGCATCACATGAGACAACACTTAAGACGGTAAAACTACCTTTTCTTCAAAATGAATACTTTAAGGTTAACAGGTGGAAATAAATACTAGTCTGACTTAATTTACAATCCAACTTTGATTTTCATATTCCACTGGCTGTCTATTTGTTTTCTTATTCAAAATATATATTGACATGTTAAATATTCTTTAACAGGCCTAGTTGACTAACATTGATGTTTATAACTGCTGTGGCAGATATACATTGACTGTAATATTCTCAGATTTTTCTCAAAAAATGTTTTCATTTAAAGTCTGAAATGAAATGTCTTCGTACTCTCTTTGTCAGATAACTTGAAACATACCGTTTTAGAAGTGAATTTTATGTTTGGTGAGCTAGACTCAAATCTGACATCTGTAGAGACATTCAAATCAAACTAAACCAATGTGACTAGGATATCTTTATTGTTATTCTCACTAGCTCACCTACATGCCTTGTGTCTCTCGTACTTTTCCCCCACAGACCAAATCGATGAAAACTTGAAGCTGACTCTACAGGAGGATCTAACATCCATGGCCCCTGGACTCATCATTCAGGTACACTGAAACCCACAAAAGCTGCAGTCAAGTCACGTACCTTTTTACAAGTGTCTCATGTCTAGCTAGCCCGGATACGTTTTGGACATTGGTGGCATGTTTTTTTATTCCTCTGCAAAACTGATTAATGTGACTTTATCTTGAAAGATGCTGCACATCAGCACTAATACATTGATTAATGAACATATAAGCTCAAAGGTTTGCTTATGGTGCTTGTAACACATGTGATCTGACATGGTGTTTTTAAGGAAAGTGTGGGAACAGCCATCTACCAAAATGAATAGCTTTCTTTATAGAGCCACCTTTGTCTAGGGAAACCTAGGCATAGCACTAAAATGCGCGCTCCCCATCTTCCCACTCCCAAGAAAAGGTCAGGGACAAAGAAAATTACCATTAGCAGTGTAATTACTACTTCGGACGTGAGACATAGCCAACACAACAAACAACAACTTCTGTTCAACAAGGACCCTCAACTTACCTAATTAAATGAAACCAATCAAACAGAAGACAGGCTTCTTACCGGGCTCCTACCCCAAAACAGGAGAAATCGGGGTTTAAACAAAAGGGCTTCTTACTCACACTTCTGGCTTGATACTTATAAGAATGTTTACAAAAGGGACAAAAAGATTGCTACATACTGCTACTATCTAATTTGCCACAGAGGCCTACAGATCTACTAACTCTACTACAGGGGTCTGAACCCACACACACACACACACACACACACACACACACACACACACACACACACACACACACACACACTGTTGGGAGCAGGAGAGGTGCAGCTCAAATAGTCTTGTCTCTTCGGGTGGACCAGTTAGGAGACAGCAAATCTGCTGACACACACACACACACACACACACACACACACACACACACAGGAGGAGAGAAAATACATAACACAACAACAACACACAGGACCCAATGACTCGGGGTCATAACACCAAAAAGATACATTTCTCATCACAGCTTTATATGTATCCTCATAAGGAAACATTTGACTGGAAGCGCATTTTCTGATCTTTGTTCATGGGTTTTTGGAGGAAAACTATTTATCACGAAGAGTGAGAAAATTACATGATTTCATCATAGAAATACTAAGGAAAGCACTCTTCACCAATCATTTACGTTATCTAAGCATGCGTATTACAGGAATGTCCTACTCGAGGTGATTCACTGTTGAGGCACAATTTGTGTTCTAATCCAGACATGCTGCTCTGACAAAGTGTTAAACAAACGTTGGGTTTACCTTAAAAAGATGGTTACCGTGTCGTCTCTCTTTAAAAAGTCTCTTTAAAGCTTGAAGGCATCTAAACTCAGAATGAACTGCGGTACAGAACCAGGGTATTAAAGTTATAAATAATAACGACAAACAAAATGAAACTCTTTATAAAGAGATGATAGCGGCAGTGATGGCGGCAGTGGCTTAGTCTGTAGGGACTTGGTCTTGGAACCGAAGGGTCGCCGGTTCACGTCCCGATCGGACCAAACAAAGTTGGAGTGAGCTGGTAGCTGGAGAGGTGCCAGTTCACCTCCAAGGCCACTGCCGAGGTGCCCTTGAGCAAGGCACCTAACCTCGAAACTGCTCCCTTGGCGCCGGGTACCTGGCAGCCTCTCTGCTCTGCCACCTCTCCTATCTGCATGTGGTTGTGTGTGTGTGCATGTATATCCTCTGTGTTTGTGCATGTATATCCTCCCCTCTGTGTGTAATGTGTGTAAACACAACAGAGTGGGGAAAGAAATTTCCCTGTAAGGGATTAATAAAGTGTATCTTCTTCTTCTTCTTCTTCTTCTTCTTCTTAACAAAAGTCTTTTTATAGCAGTTCACAGCCTTGTATTGACTTTCACAACCTTCTGTAAAGCCCCTGTCCTGCAGAGCTTATCATAACAACACCAGACCTCTTTTTATAAAAGACAATATTAATGAACATATAAGCTCAAAGGTTTGCTTATGGTGCTTGTAACACATGTGATCTGACATGGTGTTTTTAAGGAAAGTGTGGGAACAGCCATCTACCAAAATGAATAGCTTTCTTTATAGAGCCACCTTTGTCTAGGGAAACCTAGGCATAGCACTAAAATGCGCGCTCCCCATCTTCCCACTCCCAAGAAAAGGTCAGGGACAAAGAAAATTACCATTAGCAGTGTAATTACTACTTCGGACGTGAGACATAGCCAACACAACAAACAACAACGTCTGTTCAACAAGGACCCTCAACTTACCTAACTAAATGAAACCAATCAAACAGAAGACAGGCTTCTTACCGGGCTCCTACCCCAAAACAGGAGAAATCGGGGTTTAAACAAAAGGGCTTCTTACTCACACTTCTGGCTTGATACTTATAAGAATGTTTACAAAAGGGACAAAAAGATTGCTACATACTGCTACTATCTAATTTGCCACAGAGGCCTACAGATCTACTAACTCTACTACAGGGGTCTGAACCCGCACGCACGCACACACACACGCACACACACACACACACACGCACACGCACACGCACACGCACACGCACACGCAGACAGACAGACAGACAGACTGTTGGGAGCAGGAGAGGTGCAGCTCAAATAGTCTTGTCTCTTCGGGTGGACCAGTTAGGAGACAGCAAATCTGCTGACACACACACACACACACACACACACACACACACAGACACACTGTTGGGAGCAGGAGAGGTGCAGCTCAAATAGTCTTGTCTCTTCGGGTGGACTAGTTAGGAGACAGCAAATCTGCTGACACACACACACACACACACACACACACACACACACACACACACACACACAGGAGGAGAGAAAATACATAACACAACAACAACACACAGGACCCAATGACTCGGGGTCATAACACCAAAAAGATACATTTCTCATCACAGCTTTATATGTATCCTCATAAGGAAACATTTGACTGGAAGCGCATTTTCTGATCTTTGTTCATGGGTTTTTGGAGGAAAACTATTTATCACGAAGAGTGAGAAAATTACATGATTTCATCATAGAAATACTAAGGAAAGCACTCTTCACCAATCATTTACGTTATCTAAGATGAGTATTACAGGAATGTCCTACTCGAGGTGATTCACTGTTGAGGCACAATTTGTGTTCTAATCCAGACATGCTGCTCTGACAAAGTGTTAAACAAACGTTGGGTTTACCTTAAAAAGATGGTTACCGTGTCGTCTCTCTTTAAAAAGTCTCTTTAAAGCTTGAAGGCATCTAAACTCAGAATGAACTGCGGTACAGAACCAGGGTATTAAAGTTATAAATAATAACGACAAACAAAATGAAACTCTTTATAAAGAGATGATAGCGGCAGTGATGGCGGCAGTGGCTTAGTCTGTAGGGACTTGGTCTTGGAACCGAAGGGTCGCCGGTTCACGTCCCGATCGGACCAAACAAAGTTGGAGTGAGCTGGTAGCTGGAGAGGTGCCAGTTCACCTCCAAGGCCACTGCCGAGGTGCCCTTGAGCAAGGCACCTAACCTCGAAACTGCTCCCTTGGCGCCGGGTACCTGGCAGCCTCTCTGCTCTGCCACCTCTCCTATCTGCATGTGGTTGTGTGTGTGTGCATGTATATCCTCTGTGTTTGTGCATGTATATCCTCCCCTGTGTGTGTAATGTGTGTAAACACAACAGAGTGGGGAAAGAAATTTCCCTGTAAGGGATTAATAAAGTGTTTCTTCTTCTTCTTCTTCTTCTTCTTCTTCTTCTTCTTCTTCTTCTTCTTCTTCTTCTTCTTCTTCTTCTTCTTCTTCTTCTTCTTCTCAAAAGTCTTTTTATAGCAGTTCACAACCTTCTGTAAAGCCCCTGTCCTGCAGAGCTTATCATAACAACACCAGACCTCTTTTTATAAAAGACAATATTTTGACTGACTTTAAAAGAAGCCTGAGTGCCCCCCCCCCTCTCATTAAATCCTCCCACAGAGATAAAATCCCTACCCTGCTTAGTGTTTAAAACGCTCCACTGGGCTTTAATACTCTTGGCTAATGTTTCCTGTAACTCTCTAGGTACAGTTAAAATAACAATGGCTGTTTCTGGGAAACCAGTAAGCGCACAGGTCAGAGAGCATTTACTGGGCAATAATACTTTAACATTATTACTGAATTACACAAGACATTTGAGCTCTAATCTGATTTTAAGCATTGATATCACTATTTATATGAATACACTACTCTATACATTGTTAAATGCATATTTGTACATATTTTATCTGTTGTTTTATTGTTTTTGTTTTTTTCTTTATCCTAACATAAAACAGTTTTTCAGAGTACAAGTATAGGTGATTATAAAAGCAAACAAAAAAATGAAAGTAATTTTAAGACAAAGGAATATTTTGTTGTTATAGGTGAAATAAATAAGTAAAACAATAATACTATATATTTTATTTGAAGCAACTGTTTCAACATTTCTATTCCCAACTGGGGATAATAAAGGTTATTTGGCTTCTCTCAGCTTCTCATTCTTCTGATATCTCCCCCGGGGGTTTAATGTTTCTATAAATGTCCCTCTTGCCGGCTTCGGACTAAACTTTTTCTTTCTCTTTCTCTGTTTGTCTTTGATCCGCAGGCGGTCCGTGTCACAAAGCCTATCATCCCGGAGAGCATTCGCAGGAACTACGAGCTCATGTGAGTTTTTATTTGTTGTCCCCCTGCCAACAGAGGAATGTTCCCTGGCCCCCATTGCCTGTGTTGTGCAATCATTTCCCTCCCAAGTGGATCCTCCTCCCTGCCAAGTCCTGTAAGATTCTGCTGTTTCCGGTCGGTCTGTGAGCATCTCACTCATATATTATCAGTGCTCCGTAACAGCAACTGTGATAAAGAGAGGAGGCTTTCCAGTAAGGCAAGGCAAGTGTATTATAAAACACATTTCAACAAAAAGGCTATTCAAAATGCTTTACAAAAAACATGAACAGACTTAAGAAAAGTGCCAGAAAAAACATTACGTTGCGCATGTTAAGGGTCTCAAATTCTCATTTGCAGGTTCATACCTGTCCAAAACCAGAAAAGGGCCCCCTTAAGAGCTAAGAGAACAGAAATAAAACATGCTAAAAGTCAACTTTATTGTAAATGTTTCAGTTTCTGTGTACAGAAAGAGATCGAAATACTGTTTCCCACAATCCCGAAGATAAAAAAAATGCAATTGTATATTTAAATAAAAATATATACATACATACATACATATACATACACACCTGTACACCCACTATACACACATAATCAACATAGACTCGTATATACATATGCACACATTAAAGGTGGGGTAGGTAAGTTTGAGAAACCGGCGAGATACACTTTTTGTTATATTCCATGGAATGCTCTTAACATCCCGATAGCAATGAATATCTGAAGTGCTTTGACAAAAAATCCATAAAAAAATGTCATCTGTGGAAGCCGTAATACTGTAAAAAGCACGACCAATCATTTTAGCCGGCCCGGCTAAAATAACTGGATGGCCTACCTGCCTGTCAGCCTTCCATCTGTGCACAAACTTATCTCGTGCCCTCATTGGTCATGTGCGCGTTCGTGTGTGTTGGAGGAGGGGCTCTGTAAGGAAGTGGCAGATTTTCTCCGGTTGTGTATTTTCAAAATTTTGAAACGGTTTCTCAAACTTACCTACCCCACCTTTAAGAGGCATAAATAAAAGGCACAACAGTCAATATATACAAAATAACAGTCACTTCAAAATGGAGGTGGATGAATATATTACAGTAAAAAATGCTCATTATTGCAAAAGAGTGCCCATAACGGCGTAGAAAGTGTCTGCTGGTGCTGGATGTGTGTGTCTGTCTCTGTGTGTAAAATAGAGTAGCACGGGTACAAATTCTAGGATAAAAGTAACAGTGCCTGATATCCAAGTTATGTGATTGACTAAAAGGCAACATTTCGACAGTAAGTTGTAGTAAGGTTCATAAAAGCACAGCGGGGAACCAGCCACAGTCTGCAAGTAAGACAAAGGAAATCATTTAGATGTTGTATAAAAGTAAAGCACCGTGCCTGACTTCTAGCCAGAAACCCACACGAAGCCGAGTTAATGCAACACACATGTCTCCCTACAGATGTGTTGAATAGTCTGTTTCATATTAGATAGCGTCTTCATTCCCAGGAGTATCTTTTCAGCTGTTCATTATCAGGCATCAGCATTACATGTGTTCAACTATAGAAAAGCATCACAGCTTACTGTTATTTTAAATATTTTAAAGGGGACCGATCATGCAAAATGCACTTTTGTACGTCTTTTATACATGAATATGTGTCCCCGGTGTTCCAGGGAACTCACCAAGTGTCAGAAAACACAACCCTCTCTATTTTCCTCCATACCCAAATCTCTAAAAAAGGGGCTGCAACAGATCTGATAAAAACTGATCCAGATTTGAACACTGTCCTGACGTCAGGACGGTGGCGCTACGGCTATTGGGCCAACTCCACCAATCAGGAGGAGACAGCCACGGCCATTGCCGTTCGAAAGTGCTGGAGACGCTGTAGTACATATGCCAGGCCTGTAGATGGTGCTGTTCTCACAGAATCAGCCCTTGCAAAAACAGAGCTAACATTTTTCAAATTGAGCAAAATGAGGCATGGCTAAAATGCATGATCTGTTTGGTATTTTGAAAATAAAAAAGTATAAATGTGCCTTATATAGGTATGGTCCTACACTATATTATTCAAATATAGCATGATAGGTCCACTTTAAGTGGAACATTTCATAATCCTCCACAAAAGCTAGCTGTTGCTGCCTGCACAGCACATACGCTGTTTACCGATTAAATCTACTGGGACTTCAGAGGTGCAGAGGTAACTAAACCAAAGAAGGGCGAGGCTTTTGTAGTTATTAAACCTGTGCAACCTGTGCAAACAAAGGAAGCGAGAACTAATGAAAGCACCTGCAAATGTTGAAATACTCCTGTGTAATAATCTGTGTTGTTAAGCAGATAACAGCACAGTGTTTGTGCTCCTGTGACATTTGCATATATTTAAAGAATGTTTTAAGCAGACGTTTTGGGAAAACACCTTTTTTTTGCAAATGAGCCTCATTGCAAATGTACAAAGATCAGTGTTTTAGCCCCAAACAGTAACATAGAAATCATTAGCATCTTCAGACCGTCTGAAGCACCTTTTTATAAGGAGTATCTGCTAAAACAAATTTATTTTGGGATGCAGTGACAGGATGTTATGACAGTTGTGTGGTGAAAATACATGAATAAGGTGCCATACGCTCCTTGTGTATATACAATGTAAATGAAAAAATTGAATAAGACGGGCCAGATTTAATATTAATATAGTAGCACGTTCTCATTAAAGCTCTGAATAATGTTTACATGTTTTCAGACAAAGGTAGAAAAAAAGCAGGCTTTCTTATATTTAGCAAGCACACAGGTTTTGTTGACGTTTGTAACGTTAGCTAACTAGCCATCGAAGCTAACGTTGCTTTGCTTCCATGAGTTGCTTGAAAACGCTGCCTTACTTTATTGTGTTTAAGCTGAGTTGCTTTAAATTGAGAACCTTAGGGTTTTAGATCTGTTTGAGTTTACCAGGAGTATTTACAATACAGTTTAAAATGTATTTGACAAGGGAGTCTAGGATTAAACAAAACACCAACCAGCTGATGCATAGTTTCTCCATGTTTCTGTCTTTCTTTGCTCATACATTTCAGTCTTTTCTTCTTCTTGGTTATTGTGTTCAATGGCTATTGTCACTATAATATAATTGAATGTTCATTTGAATTGTAGCCTCTTGATTAGAATTGTTATCTTTGGATACATGCTCTGTTGGTTGGTATTGGGGCGGTGAGGCAGCGCTCACTTTTGAAGATTTTTTTGGGGGGGGGGATTTTGACATCATACCTAGGGTTCACGGTAACAATTACTCACTAACCCCAATTTCCTAGCTCTTTGGAAGCAGTGCCATCATTTACTGTAAATGGAGGCACAGCATGAGCAGTCAGACGACCGCACGAGGTTGTGACCAGTTTCTAAAGTTTTCAAAATTCATGTTTTATGGCAGCAAAACTTTCCACTCAGCAAAGCTACACTTAATCTCTATCTACTGCAAATACTGCCTTTAATTTAACAGGCTTTGGACCATGAGACATACTTTTGGTTTCACTTTTTCATAAATGGTTCAGTAAATGTTGACCTTTGTCTTTTCAGGCTGTGAGAAAGTGTGTGGCTTACTTGACTGAAAGCCAGTAATACAAACAGATCCCAGCAAATATGTGATGAGAGAGTAGATTACCCTGGTTATGGAAATAAGCCCCAGGTTATTAAATTAAGCCAATTTCCCTTCAAACCAGCAGTTGTATTGTTCTAACTTTAAAAGGATTACTTGAGGGATGAACAGACACTGATTGATGTGGTTCGTTAAGTAATAGGAAGTCTTCCCAATGAGGCAAAGACTCGAAGATGCAAAGCCAAGATTGAAAACACAAGTAGAGCATTTGTTGTCAATGTGTCCTGATGGCACAGGGTTTGGATGTCATTCTTTGAAATGTTATGCCCACTCCAAATGCCTGCTCTGACAGGCTCAGACTTTCCCAAACGCTTTCCAAGTCTCCGGGCTGTCTCATGTTTATGTTTCTGCATCTTTCTGCTCACTTGTTAAAAGTCTGAAGGTTTTTCTTTCTCTTTCTGTTTGAGAGTTGAGAATTATGTCAGAAACCAGGAATCCTAAAAGAAACACGAAAAAAGCTTCAGAGACCAAGTTTTCATGCAAATCTGTAAAAAACCAAGTCCTGATCACCTCCAAAGAAACGCCTGTGATGTCAAAGTGAAGTGTGTTGGCTTGTTCTATGTTTATTTTATGACAATATATTGTTTTATTGCCTATGAATAAGTACCATTCACTTCATAATTACAAAGGACTTAGATGTTTATGAAATCTGTGATGCATCCACATTTCTATGATGTATTAATATGTATCCTAAACAGCACAAGTCCAATTGTCAATTTAATTGAATAGTTAGTTGTTTACGGTTAACAGGTTGCACAAGCTCTTTGAAATCCTTGAAATGTGTGAGTTTTAAGGGGAAAAAATCAAGGGCTTTGCTATTTAACATTTTCTAAATTGGCTATGTCCCACTCTCTCTTGCATGTTTCTTTCCTGCAGTTGGATCATTGTTTGAAAATGCAACCTGGCTCAAGTGTTGGGTCCTTTTAATTGAGGAAATTAAGCCTGAAAAGTACTCGAATGTATTTAAGAAGGTGTGGGAACCCTAGAAAAAGGCAGGCACATACTGTTCAAAAATGTGTTCGCAGGGAATTGGAAAAATCATCAGTCAATCAAAATGTTGCCCACAAAATGATGCCGTTTACTTACTGTTCTTCTAACGAACAGTCAAGTTATTAAATATCTGATGCTTTTGAAGTATTTAGGCCTACCTCTTTAGGAGACACCATTGTTGTTTTGAACAAACAGTCGTCTTCCTGTGTCCTCACACACATAAACCCAGTAGTTCCTCACAGTGTGCCGTTTGGTTTAAAGGTCTCCTATTGTACTATTTTTAGGCATATATTATAGGTCTCAGATATATAAAAAAACGTCTATGAAGTGTTTTGCTCAAAATACCAAACAGATCACCCATTCTAGCCTCCATCCCCTCTGTTTCAGCCCTGTTAGAGAACTGCTGATTCTGGGTCCGTAGCTAATGTAAACAAAGACCATATTACTTCCAAAACGCATTGTTTCTGATACACCGACGTTTCTGATAGGGCCGTGGGCGTAAAGCCAGCCCACATTTCACATATTACGTCATATCGGCAGCAAATCTGGATCAGCCCGTTTTCAGAGATGTGGGTACGGAGGAAAAGAGAGAGGGTTGTATTTTCGGACACTTTGTGAGTTACCCGACACACCGGGGACACAAATGTATGTATAAAAGACATCAAAAAGTGCATTTTGCATAATAGGGGGCCTTTTTTGAATACAAATGCATTACTTGAAGCATGACAAGATGGATGTCCATGTTATCTTGTGATTCTGCATTTCTTGTGTAAACTTGTTTTATGGAATCCAGCTGCTATGCAGGGTAAACACTTTTAACCTACAAGCCAAGCATGAATGTCTCGTTAAAGTAAACTATAGAAGCACTGATTCCTGAAGTTGGTCCAGAAATTTAAAATAAAGACCCATAACATCCAACTAAAATACTAATTGTGCTTCTAAGGATGCATGGAAAATGTGCAGACCCACAAAGGTGACGCCTCTGCACATGTCGAGGTTGGGGGGAATTATTCTATAAATGTTAACACACGCAGGATAATACAAGTGTTAGATATCCCACCTAAACAGTATAAAGCCTGCTCTGTACATGCCTAGATGTGTGTGTTTTAATGTAAAGTGTGTGTTTGTGTTTTAGGGAGAGCGAGAAGACGAAGCTGCTGATCTCTCAGCAGACACAGAAGGTGGTGGAGAAGGAGGCGGAGACAGAAAGGATCAAAGCTATAATAGGTGAGACAAAGACAAAGAAAACAATGAAGAGAAGTTCATTATACAAAATATTGTTATACAAAAAGGTGCTTATTTGTGTTATAGAGGCTGAGAAAGTGGCACAAGTGGCAGAGATCAAATACGGACAGAAAGTCATGGAGAAGAACACGGAGAAAAGGATCTCTGAAATTGAAGGTTTGTATCCAGAACAAAAGTTTTATCAGCTAAATATTCTTAAATGATCTTAAGTAAAAGAAATACCCAATCTAACTTAAATTAGTTTTTAATACCGACTAATATTTATCTTTGAGCATTCTCATTCGTGTTTGTTAATCTGTAAAGCCCACTGACAATTTTGAGATATTGGGCTGTATAAATACACTTCGATTTGAATAAACTTTGAAGAGTCAGGGGTGGTACCAAATGATCTAAACACAGCCTGAAAAAATAATCAGTTTAAAGTAAGTTAGAGCCAAAGACTGAGCAACTAGGGCCACAAATCAACAAAAGTGAAAGACATGGCTTTATCTAAACAATGCGTTCAAATCAAATCAAGTTTTATTTATATAGCACATTTTTAAAACGATTTTTGGTCGAGTCAAAGTGCTGTACATGCAATAAAAACACTTTACAACAATAGCAAACAGAAGACAACAAATTACAACAGCAAAAATTAAAAATCACTCACAGGGAAATGTCAGGAGTCGCGCTCCGCTCTGACTAGAAGGCCAGAGAGAAGAAGTGTGTCTTAAGAGTAGATTTAAAAACCCCTAGGGTCTGGGCCGACCTCACATGGAGGGGCAGAGTGTTCCAGAGCCTAGGGCCAGCTGCTGCGAATGCTCGGTGCCCTCGGGTTTTAAGCCTGGTCTTGGGCACTACCAGCAGCAGCTGACTCAACATTGTTTCCATAACGTAAAAACACTTTCCTAAAGTACCCCAGTCAGTCTTCACATGTTCTAACAGGATTAGAGGATTAGCAAACAGCAATTATTCCTGTCATCATGTTGACTCGCTGAAAAGGTCAGAGGGATATGAAACAGTTTATCACAACATGTGCATTTCCTGCCAGGGCAAGTCAAAATCCTTTTAAGACAAAGAAGCAAACATGCTCAGCGATGTGGCAATTTCCATCAAACTATCTGAGGCGTGAGAATAGGGGGTAAGACACTGAACAGAAGTATTTAAAAATATGTGTTATACTAACCAGATCTAAATGAATCTAACCCGAACGACTGAATTTTCCTTAAACATTGGTTTTAATATAGATAAGATATGATAAACATTTATGTAAGGGGAAAGCAATGGTACAAATGAAATGCATTTCAGAGTAGAGTATCATGTTTAGAAGACCCCAGCTGTTTAGTATATTCAAGCTTTGACATGTTATATTACATACCTGCAAACTAGTCGCTTATCTGCAAAATTCACCATTTTGAATCGAAATATGTCAGCGAATCTTTTTAGAGGGGCGGGGCTTGCAAGTGGCCAGCACATGAACTTCTAGACTGGAAGTAACATCAGCTTCCACACATATGCCGATGACACACAGATTTATTTCCAAACTGCCCCGGATAAACATATGGCACTTTCAAATGTCTCAAGATGCCTGGAACACATACACCACTGGATGAGCAACAACTCCCTCCAACTGAATAGCAGCAAATCAGAGGCCATTCTGATTGGAACACCACATCAAACACAAAAAACTGATATCCCTCATATCCGCATCAATGGCCACTCCATTCGCCTCTCCCCACTTGTAACGAGCCTAGGTGTCAAACTGGACTCATCCCTTTCATTCCAAGCACACATAAAGATGGTCTGCCAAGCCTCATACTACCAACTGAGGAACATCTCCAAAATGCGACACTCCCTCACCAAACCGGATGCAGAAAAACTGGTCCATGCCTTCATCACCTCCCGCATTGATTACTGCAATTCTCTGCTTGCAGGCATTCCAGCAAAAACCACTCAAGAGACTACAATATGTACAAAACTGTGCCGCCCGGATACTCACAAAAACACGCAAATCAGAGCACATCACCCCCATCCTTCACTCACTCCACTGGCTCCCTGTAACACACCGGATCAACTACAAAGTCCTCATAATGGTCTTCAATGCCATCAACCACACTGGCCCCACCTACCCACAGGAACTGCTAATCAGAAAACATTCCCATACCTCACGCACACTCAGGTCAGCCAGCTCCAATCTCCTGGCTGTTCCGCGGACCAAACTGGTCACCATGGGAGACCGTGCTTTCTCCTCCCTGGGTCTGTGGAATCAGCTTCCAGAGAACATACGGACCTCGGCATCACTCTCAGTTTTTAGGAAATGCCTCAAGACCCACCTGTTCCACACCGCATTTTACTGACTGTCCTTTTATTTATTTATTTATTTTTAAACCTTTTATGCTCTTAACCTTTTATTTTAATTTTTTATATTGCCATATTTTATCCAATATGCTCCTTTAGATATATATATATATATTTATATGTTTTTCTCCTTATAGCTTTGTGAAGCACCTTGAGATGACGTTGTCTTTAAAGTGTGCTATATAAATCAAATGTATTATTATGTATTAAGTAGAAGATTTTATTGTACAGGCCAAAAGACAACTCAATTTGGAAAAAGTTTTTTGTGGTTTGCTTTATTTTCTTGCCCCGAGACCCCCGTTTGGTTTACAAACATGCCATCGTTTTTACATATTTTGTTTGCATGTGTTTTTTTAAGACAGACACATATAAACCGTCTATGACTTCAGACTTAATCTGAAGTCAAACCCGTGGACGTCTGCAAACCACACTATAGCTTGTTTACATTCTTACTTGAATAAAGACAAAGTAGAGATGTGAAAGAGTGCGTCAGAATTCAATGCAAAGAAAACCTGTTGGGATTATGAGTAAAACCTCATGTGGTTTTCAGCAGCTGTGTACAATCAGAACCGCTTCTTTCCGAGTGTGTTTGTTTTCAGTTTTCAAGTCTGGGAAACCATTTGTTTAGATGGGCTCATGTTTGTAGGTTGCAGTATTTACACCAGCTCCCTCCTCTCTGAGCGGCGAAGCAGCTTGGACTTTTTTTATTACACAGAACTCAGACTGTTTGTTTCTGATTCACAGATGGTGCTTTCCTCGCCCGGATGAGAGCCCGAGCTGATGCAGAGTTTTATACGTCACAGAGAACAGCAGAAGCCAATAAGGTAAATAGATTACACAAAAGCACGAAATATTGTCAAAGATAACGTTACATGATAGTCAGTCTTTCTCCCAGCAGTTCCATTTCCGGTGCTGCGGCTGGGCAGCAGCTGTGTGTCTGTGCGGTGGTACATTTGAATTACACCGGGCCAGCGGCACACTGAACTGTCAGGAAGACTAGGGTCTAACTCATGGTCTAACTAACCTTATTTAAAGGGGACCTATCATGCAAAATGCACTTTTGTACGTCTTTTATACATGAATATGTGTCCCCGGTGTTCCAGGGAACTCACCAAGTGTCAGAAAACACAACCCTCTCTATTTTCCTCCATACCCAAATCTCTAAAAAAGGGGCTGCAACGGATCTGATAAAAACTGATCCAGATTTGAACACTGTCCTGACGTCAGGACAGTGGCGCTACGGCTATTGGGCCAACTCCACCAATCAGGAGGAGCAAGTTGCTTGTTCCAAGCAAGTGGAGCTGCGCACATAAAAGCTGTCTTACCTAAGACAGTCCTTGCTCTTGGCACATCTAACAAGACTACATCATGCGATCTCAGACAATAGCTGCTTGCAACTCTCTGTGTTATCAGAGAACAGATATAATACGGGAGTTTACCCAACAAAGCTTTATAAATAAACGTGTACCAATGACTGAGCCTCCGTACAGTAAGTGATGGCAAACCTGCCTTGGCATACAGGGTACAGTGATGTGTAAGTGCTTTACAATTTGTGACAAATCTCAGTGCGCTGTGATAGGCGGCATCTAACTTGTTCAGGCAATGGGCAGGTGCATTCATATACAACAAATCACCATAGTCCAGCACAGGTAAAAAGGTCACAGTGACTAGCCTTTTCCTGGCCTCAAGCGAGAAACAGGACTTGTTTCTGAAAAAGAAACCTAGCCTAACCCTCAGCTTTTTAAGCAGGTTATTGACATGAAGTTTAAAAGTAAGACAATCATCAAGCCAGATACCTAGGTATTTGTAACAGGCAACCACTTCTAGTACTTGTCCTTGCATAGTAACAATATCCAAAGCAGTCTCTGGTGTCTTTTTAGCTTTTGAAAACATTTATCAACATTTAAAAGAAGCTTAAGTTCAGAGAGCCTGTAATTTAACAACCGCCTCCTTAATGGAGGGACCTGCACAGTTGATATCTATCTAAACTGTTGATATCTATGGAGAATAAAAGTGGACCTAAAACAGAACCTTGAGGAACACCATTAGCAATGTTCAACCACTCAGATGACAGCCCATCAAAGTGAACACATTGGGACCTTTCAGAGAGGTAGTTCACAAACCACCCTACTGCATGGCTGGATATGCCAATACTGAGTAGCCTCTGCTTCAAGATGCGATGATCGACGGTATCAAACGCTTTAGAAAGGTCAATAAATAGAGCTGCACAACTCTGCTTATTATCTAAAATACTTGTAATGTTATTCACCACTTTCATTGTCGCAGTGATGGTGCTATGTTTCTTTCTGAAACCTGACTGATGTTTAGACAGGATATAATTTTTACATAAAAACTCCTTTACCTGTTCACTCACTAGGCGTTCAAGAACCTTAGCCAGAACTGACAATTTAGAGATGGGCCTATAATTATTTAAAATCGTTGCTTCCCCTCCTTTTAGCAAAGGCAAGACACAAGCTGACTTCCATACTTTTGGAATTGCATTTGTGCTGAGGGAGAGGTTAAAAAGAGAAGTGAGAGGTGGAGCAATAAAATCTGCAGCTATCTTTAAAAAGAAAGGTTCTACGTTGTCCGGGCCGGCCGGTTTCTTAGGGTCTAACTTAGATAATGCTTCATGAACAACATTAACAGTAAAAGGAGTAAAACTGAAAGGGTTTTCCAGACCACATTGTTCAGAGTCACGGATTGGGGTGTTCACAGAAGCAGAGTTAGAAAACAGAATCAAACAGAGAGCCACAGGACACAAAATGCTTATTAAAGCAATTTAACATAGTGGCCCTGTCCGATATCGAGCCAGATGCTGTGGTAATGCACGGAGGTAGCTCATTACGGATATCACCGGTGGATATCGATTTTATGGCTTTCTAACATTTCCTAGGATTATTTAGGTTTTCTGTAGTAACTGACAAATAGTACTTCGACTTAGCACTTTTGACATGTGAAGTGAAGCTATTCCTTAGCTGCCTAAAACGCAGCCATTGTACCTCTGAGCCTGATTTCCTAGCCTTTGCCCAGGCCTTGTTTCTCTCATGCAGGAGACTAGACAGTTTTACTGTAAACTTGGAGGAAGCCAGCAGCGCAGGCTGCGCAGAGTGCAGACTGCTGCTGCCTGCTGCAGCCTGCTACACACCGACCCCCCCCCCCCCCCCCCCCCCCCCCCCCCCCCCCCCCCTTCTCCGTCACACGTGCGATTGATTTATTGGCGATATACAGAACAGTGAGAACAACACAACTAAAGATGAACAAAGAAGTGTTCGTTCCTCGTGGAACTACTTCGAACTGACAAGTGGAGTAAAATGCAAGCTCTGCGAAAATACTTTTTTTTTTCTCTCCCGCGGGGGGGGGGTCAATCAGTCGAATAATCGATTAATATTCGCCAGGGCTGTCCGATTTTCGAATTTGATCATGGTCAGTTTCTGGCATCCCTAGTACCAAAAGCATGCATACTCCATGGAAGCGTGCATACTTAATAAGGGCAGCGGCAGGACATACAATAAGTGAAAATAACAAGTGTGTTATTTGGAACGCAGCCTAAACTCCAAACTATGCAGATTCAGTTAAAAGCTGCAAAAATACTGAGAGCTGAACACAATCAGAATCAGAATACCTTTATTCATCCCACAGAGGGGAAATGTACATTTGTAAGAGAGTGCTGCGGGTATTTGTCCTCAAACCAATAACAAACACAACAGAAAACAATCTCAAACTGCCGCTGAAGCACAATGACGTTCATTCTCCAGGCAAGATTTACTTTTGTACATTTATTTTCTCAGGTTTCAACTAAAGCAAAACAAGGAACAATGGCTTTTACATCCTCTCTTGCCCTGGTAAAAAAAAAAAACCTTTCTGGTGCCAAAATCCGCCTCCACCTTTCCACCAATAGATGCTCAAATCAAGAAGCTCCCTGCAAAGCAAAAACATTGAGAACTGCTGACATCTGCTTAAATATTGACACTAAAAGAATGATCAAAGTAATCCGTACAAAACAGAAATACAACTAATGCTTAACTATTACGTTTTAGAAAACAATGAATAGCTCCAGGAGAGGTTTTTAAAAACATCCTCTTATCTTGTGCACCGCATGAGATTATTCTCTACCCACGCTTGTTTTAGGGGAATTAGGCTGCAGAAAACCCCTCAAACCCCCCCCCCCCCCCTCCTCATCCAGGACAGACTCTGCTACGGACAATCTTGCACTAATGTACATTTCCCAAAGATATTGAAGTGACTGTTATTTTGTATATATTGATTGTTGTGCTTTTATTTATGTCTTAATGTGTGTGTATACATGTGTCTGTTGATTGTGCATATATAGGATATACATATTTTATACATATTTTAATATATGTTTGTATTCGGGATTGTGGGAAACGGTATTTCAATCAGGAGAGACAAGTTTTCTTTTGATGTAACGATATATATTTATTGCCGGGAATACACAGATGCATGTAATGGTGTTTGGCGATTAGACCCCGTTGTGCTGGAATGTCATTCGGGAGGGGGAAAACCGAGCCGATGAATCCCCCCCTGGGGTCTAGACACTGGAGGTGGTGGAGGCATGAAGGGATTGATGGAGGTCTGAAGAGTAGTGGTTTAAGCTTGACCCTGGATTTGGAAGAAAGGAGGGGAGGAGGGCTGCGTTGAGTCACCTGAAATGACAACTGTGAGGAAGGGGAGAGAGCAGATTTAAAGGTTTAGCAACGTACTATGATAGGCTTGTGGGAATAGAAGCGAAGTGATAGGTTTAGCTGAGGAGTGACGCCCCCGATCACTGATTGAGAGATCAGTGTTCCAGTAAACTGGGAATATGTGAATGAATGACTCAAGACGGTCTTCCTGGTTGAACTTGCGCTAAGCTTCATTTCAATCTCTCTGTCTGTACACACAAACTGAAAGATTGACAATATAGTTGACTTTGACTTGACTTTGAGACTGGAACCGGAAAGTCCAGCCTGCTCTTCTGTAAATAAAATGGTGTTTCTCTCCCGCAGCTGAAGCTCACCCCGGAGTACCTGAAGCTCATGAAGTTCAAGGCCATCTCCGCCAACAGTAAGATCTACTTTGGGTCCGAGATCCCACACATGTTCGTGGACTCGGGCTCCGCGGGGGGGTCAGTGAAGGCGTCTGCAGCCATGGACATTGTAGCCGAGCAGATCATGGACCTGGATCACTAAAGAAGAAGTACCGAAGCCCTCAGGAGGAGGTGGAGGTCTGTCTGCAGGGGGAGGGGAGGGGGGCAGGAGCCTGACCCCCTGACCCAGAGAACTCCTGCTGAACAGAGCCCGTATTTCTCAAACACCTCAGAATAACTGCTAGATATCACACTGAAGGTTTTACAAGGATTTGATATTATTCTCCTACAGCAGAGCACAGGACTTGAGTTATTGAGGTTTGCATACACTTCTGCATAGTTCTTAGAGATGGTCTGGAATCAGTCAATTGGGTTGCAGATAAAGCGGATGAGATAGCATCAACTGTACGTGTCTAATTAGCTCTGTTTAGCAAAAATCTTTTCATATGTGCATCTAGTGTACACAGTTCATCTATCAGGAAATGACAACAATCTGAAATGCAAAACTACTTATGTGTTTTTTTGGCTGCAACTGCTGATTCTTAAATGATCAATTCATCTGCCAATATTTTTCTCAATTTATCAAGTTTTGTTAAGTCAAAAAAGCATACTCAAATTACTTGTTTTGTTTGACCAAAATACCCATAAATATTAGTTTACAATGATTCATTACAAGCAGGGAATCTTTTCAATTTAGAAGCTGGAATAAAAAACATTACAGTTGACTGGTATTATTAATAGATCAAAATGGATACAAGTTATTTCTGTAGATTGTAGACTTTCTATTGATTGGCTATATTTAGACAAATAGTGACTCTTCATGTCCAGTTTATATTTGTCATGCACCCACATGCATGTGTCCAGGGCATTAATTTGAAGCTGGGATATTTGTCATGTAGGAATTATTTTAGGTGCAATGAATCTAATCAGTAATTGTTCTTGTTGCATGCATTTGCCATTTGCTAACCCCTGTCCTTTAGTTACATTAATAATTAGCAGATATACTAAATCTATACATTAAATCCTAAACAGTAATTGTCAAGATCAAGAAAGTTATTAAAATACTGGTCCCTGCTGCTCAAAGGAAGGACCACATGTTTGTCTCTCTGAGGATTTTAGACTTCCTATTCTGAACTGCTTGAAAAATACGGGCCCTCTCCAAGTAACCTCACAGTAGACGAGAGGACGAAGGAGCTAATCGCTGCTGCCTGTCAGATGTCACGTCATCGCTCCTTTTGTTTGTTTAATCTGGTGAATATTAACTGAGTTTGTGCAGCTGTCTGAAGTCTGCTGTATGTGTGTGTGTAGCACTTTGTTTTTCTCTCCGTGCATTCAGAGGGGAGAAGACATCTGTGTGGCTGCTTATGTTCACTGTTCATATCTATTTTGCATCAGTTTTATTCAAATCAGCGCCCACTTTAAACGATTTATGTTGTGTTATGACAAAAACAATTAAACAACTTTTGTACTCTAGTTTTACAGACGTGACATAAGCTTTTCTCAAAGGGTAATTTTCAGCATTTTGGATGATTTAAAATAACTATTTAACGTATATCCTGTAGGAGTAGTTACAGGATATTTACACTAGTGAATCGGCTTATAATTAGATGTATACTGAGGGACTTGATGTAGAAATAGTATGTAGAAATAGTACGTCGAAATCGTCTGTCATTTGTCAGTTTTGGAAAACTCATAATCTTTTGTATAGAAATCTTGGCTTGATCAGGACCAAACATGTTCTCAGTCTTAGATTACTAAAATGCAAATGTTGACAATATCATTTTGTCTCCCAGCATTTAGCAAATGTTAAGTTTGAATGTTTATACTGAGTGTTGTGGCATTGCACAACCAAGAACACATGGTTGTGAGTTACGACCAAGTAATGCGTTCACAGAAACAAATTAGCTTCAAAGTAGTAGAATGTGGATTCAGGCTTTGTGGGAAGCTGCGTGTTCAGACATCGAGGCTGCCACTTAGTTTGTTGGGCACACACTTTCACACGAGAGAAAACATTTTGGAGTTTGAAGCTAAATGTCCTGTGTCCAAAATTAACCTACACCCAACTTCTAAACAAACAGTGATTATGTTATGTGTTATTGACCCTGCTCTTTGTTGTCGTTTGAAGCTAGTCTTAAAGTCCCTTTCCGTTTTTATTTTAATACAAATGTCTCTAATTGATTGAGATTTAACAATGACTTGAAACGCAAAGGTATTTGCACTGATTTCAATTGTAAATATGCAATCAAGATATTGTCATTTGGCAATAAAGAACTGTGGGTTATACTTTGACTAATTAATGGCATTATTAAGAGTTGTATTTACAATGCAGGTCAAATGGGACTTGTAGGATGTGTGTCATTAAAAGTGTATTCAAACACAAACATTTTGTATCTAAAGAAGTGTTGTAATTGCGAGTCAGATTTATAAAGAGGCCCTGGTGTGCTTTTTGGGGTTTTCCCTCTCCTGTAGGATTGTGTGCATGTAAATGGTCTGCAAAGCCTAAAATCCCAAAGTTCCCTCTAGAGCCAGAGGGACGAAATACAATAATGAAAGCTGAACATTAGCATAATAAAGCCCCTTTAAAAATAAATCTGAAAAAAGTAGTTTGGAGTAATAATTGAACCAGTTTGAATTTAAGTTTTATACACAGTAATAATCCTATTAGATTATTTAACATGTTGAGAAAAACTGTTCTTTTGAGCAACACAAATCAATATTAACTTTTTTTGAACAGGATTCAGGTTGTGAAGGTGTGGCAACTCTTATCTGACACACACTTTAAAACAGTAAACGATATTTACATTGAAGACTAAAGAGTATACTGCTAGTTAAACATATTGTCCACACCTTGATCTGATCGAACATATCAGGGTACCGACTTCAGTCATGCTTTATTTCACATGTGTTTCCAATCAACATGCATCACTGCATTTCCATTTACGATAAGTAGGAAAAGAGACCGGGTAATACTATATCCATGAGTCACAGAGACGGATGCGGACATATTTGGAGTTCGTTATTGGGTCATTGGATTTAGATGTCCCTCTTTCTATGAGTTGCTTCTGACTGTTTCCAACCTTTTGCGCTCGGGCCCACAACTAATAGTTACTCATGAATTACTGGGTAAAAACGTCTGAGCCCGCTCAAGTAAATGATCATATTGAGGAGTTCCTAGATACTCCCATCAAATAACTATTCGCTTCTTTGCAAAGTTGTACCCTGTAACCTTAATTATATATATTGTATATTGAAACCTTTATAACAAATATGGGAGTTATTGTTCCGATTTTACTTTTACGATTTTTATCTGTTAAGATTCATAATGTAAGTGTTGATGTGATGATGATTTTAGATTAGAACATGCAGGTGGTTTTAATCTTGCCAGTATTTATGACATTTAACTGATTTACTTATACATCATAAAACTAACAAAATAAAGAATATTTTGTACGAAAAAAGAACCAAAACAAATTAATTTTGAAGGACTAGAGAAAGTGCGTAAACTCAACTTAAAGATGTTAAAAGAAAGTCCCATAGAGCCAAAACATGGCTTTAATTTGTCATTTGTAATAAACGATTAATTGCAGAACTTATTTTGCTTTAAATTGTTTAAGCAATTACTTTAATGTGTGCACAAATGAAGCGTTTTGGGTTAGGAGCCTTGCTCAAGGGCACCAGTAAGGGAAAACTCTTCACTGTCCTCAACCTTTATCCTGCAGGTCAGAGGGATTGCTTTGTGTTTTTCTTTCTACCAAGAAGCACACGCATTTCTCCACTTTTGATCAATATAGTATGTGTCTCTCTTTACAGGAAACATCTCTTTAGCTGCAAAATGCTCCACCATGTTCACCAGCTATTTGCTAACTGGCCGTTTTAGAGCTTTTTAATTCACAACAGCTGCAGTCGACAGATAAACAATGAGCTGAAACTCAATATGAAGCTCCTGAGAGGATAGGAGCCGGAGCAACCTCCTTTTTCATTTGGTTCATTGTCAATATAAGAGTTTTGCTTATAGCTGCTTTAAAGTCTTTACTACTGTTTGACTCAGGGCAGAGAGGATTATTATTCATGGGGGATTACTCCACTTCACACCTTTTTATTGCTGCACCGATCCCACAGTTTAACTCATTATTTACAGTCAACTGATTGGGAATGTGGGGCCCTGGGGTAAGAATGGAGAAACCAGCTCGGGTGCGCTAGAATTTGAAAAAAAAAAAATCTGCCCCTTCCTTCAGACTTCCTTACAGAGCCCCTCCTCCAACACACACGAACGCGCACATGACCAATGAGGGCACGAGATAAGTTTGTGCACAGATGGAAGGCTGACAGGCAGGTAGGCCATCCAGTTATTTTAGCCGGGCCGGCTCAGATGATTGGTCGTGCTTTTTACAGCGGCTTCCACAGATTAAATGTATTTATTGTCAAAGCATTTAATATTGCTATCGGGATGTTAAGAGCATTCCATGGAATATAACAAAAAGTGTTTCTGAAGTGAATTACCTACCCCACCTTTAACTGAGTGCTAATCCAGCCTTGATGTTAATATCACTTGATAATACTATGTGTACATTTTGATAATGTGGTGGAGATTCCACACTTAATCACCTTGTTGTAAGAAATGAACACGTCTACAAGTTTAAAGCAAAGTTGTGTTGTTTAATAAAGAGTTAAATCATTAAAAAAATGTTATCTATTTCCAGCTGGAAGGCCAGTTAAGTGAGTGCTAAAGAAATCTGAACCTCGATCAAACAAATGACAAAACTCTTAAAGGGAAGAAAACAAAGGACGGGAAGGGGAACAGCAAATCAAAGCGTGATCACATTACAGTCTAGACAGACTCTATTGAAATGGTGGGGAAGTATACATGTTAATTGTAACAAGCAACATCCGTATAATAATTTGTCACAGTGGCACACTTCTCTGTCAAATGCTATAGAACAGAAGTTAGCCAGTATTAAAGGTTTGAAACAAAGCCGTGCAACCACAACAAAGTCAAGTTTACATAGAACTGAATGACACTTAAAATATACCTTTCCACGATAAATAATACCTTGGAATAAAGAGTTTTTCTTTTTAATGGCAGTTTCAGTCATTTTTATTTCACTTTTGTTTATTTTTCTCCTTGAAACTTGTGTATGAAGGCAAGTGCAACAAGAGTTTCAAAATTCAATCATTAATGGCATTATTGAATCTTAATGAAACCCTCATTACTTCATTATTATTATTATCATATATCATTATTGTAACTTTACTGAAGCTATTTTGTAGAGTTGTACCCTTAGGTGTTGAACATTTGTTTTTTTGAGGACTTTTGTCCATGGCATACAGGAGTTACTGTCTCATTTCATTTTCAAATGGTTGTTTTCCAGGAAACTCTGAACGAATTTAAGCTTTCGCTTGCTTTTCTAGATTCATATTGAGAGTAGGTATTGAAGGAATCCTTTCTGGCATCTTGATTTATTTTTATTTTTGTACTTGTCATCATAAGAACAAGATGTAGTACAAGGAGAACAAATACCCAGCTGTGAAATCAAAAGAAACGAAAGAACAATGATGATAAGATCATTGAGATGTTAAAATGTGTATTATCCCTCTGCATCATTCATTCATATTCTGACAGTTTGAGAACCAATCCTCTTCTGTCTATTTTCCCTTGAGACATTATCCAAATCTAAGTTGCCACTATCTGCAACCTGCAGTGTAATCAGAGCTCACCATCACTGAGAGAAAAGCTCCCAGAAAGCCCCTGTGTTTCCAGCAGCGTGGCATGGAAGTGGAGCGTGAAGCTGGTTCTGGCGTCAGGGGATTCCTTCATGTATTTAGTTACTTAGAGTCAACATTACAAAGAAATAGGAGAGCAAAAGACACTTAAGATTTGCTTTGATTATTTGCACAAGTAAATGTGGAATCAATTTTCTTAATCAAGTAAACCTGGCCATCTAAATTGTTAAAGTACTCTGTTTCAGGTTAAAGTCCTGCATGCAAAACGTTAATGAAGTAAAAGTACGGAAGTATTGGCGTCAAAACATATTTAAAGTGGACCTATCATGCTATATTTGAATAATATAGTGTCGGACCATACCTATATAAGGCATATTTATACTTTCTTTTTTTCAAAATACCAAACAGATCATGCATTTTAGCCATGCCTCATTTTGCTCAATTTGACCATTTCTAGCTCTGGGCAGATTCAGTGAGAACAGCACCATCTACAGGCCTGGCATATGTACTACATCGTCTCCAGCGCTTTCGAACGGCAATGGCCGTGGCTGTCTCCTCCTGATTGGTGGAGTTGGCCCAATAGCCGTAGCGCCACCGTCCTGACGTCAGGACAGTGTTCAAATCTGGATCAGTTTTTATCAGATCCGTTGCAGCCCCTTTTTTAGAGATTTGGGTATGGAGGAAAATAGAGAGGGTTGTGTTTTCTGACACTTGGTGAGTTCCCTGGAACACCAGGGACACATATTCATCTATAAAAGACGTACAAAAGTGCATTTAGCATGATAGGTCCCCTTTAAGTACCAAAAGTACTAATTTCCTTACGCATAATGGAACATTTCACAATCATTTATGATATACAAATTATGATTATTAATTCAATAACGTGTTTACAAAAGGTCATTTTAAACTGCTGTGGGATATTTTAACCCATAAATGTTTATTTATTGTTCATTTCTTTTTTGTTTAAGATAATAATCTTAATCTGTAATGCAGTACAGTAATTGAGTAAATGTACTTTGTGTACGACTGCGAACAAGACATAGGCGAGCTGAACACTTAAAATGTGCTTTGTATATTTGAACAAGTGGACTCAAATGTTTTAATTTAGTAAATATATTAAATTGTAAAAAATACTCTGTTACAAGTGACAGTCCTGCATTCAAAGTCTTAGTAAAAGTAAAACAAGTATTGGCTTCAAAACTACTTAAAAAGTAAATGATGTGTAATGGCCCATTTAAAATCTAATCATTTAAATTATATTACTGTATTATTTATGCATTAATGTGTTCATCACATCTGGTTAAGGGGGTGCTAAAGCTGTCAAGTGAATTTAGTGGAGTAAAAGTACAGGACTACAAAGTAGTATAAAAGGAAAAAAGTGAATTTAGGCTACAGGTCCCTTAAATGGTGCTCAAGTGAAGTTCTTGAGTAAATGTACCTACTGTGTAACACACTGCATACAAGACGTGGGCGAGCAAGTCACTCATAAATCGCTTTGTATGGCTGCGTTTCACTTCTCTTATTTTTCATTTCCTCGCTCCTCGGTCTCTGTCTCACCGGAAGTTGATTTGTCTGCGCCATCTTGAGTAGCGTCGGAGTGCCATCTTGAGAATGCCGGAGGACCGAGGAGCGAGGAGCGAGGAGTGATAATGGAGG